CTCTTGCTTAGCTCATGTACGTAAGAATACGTTTGAACGGTAAGTTCCTGTGTGAAAAGACTTATGAAACGATGACGAATTTTCTTTAGATTGATTCATCCTGCTGCTCGAATAATGACGATGATTGTACGAAAACCGTCGTCTCGTCCCAAATGGATGAGAAGAGCAATGTATCCAGCATGAGTCCCCAATTGGCAAAGAGCTTGCAGAGCGCCTCTGGCCAAGTTGGATTAGACAGTCCAAAAAGTCCGGATTATCCACCGCGAGTGTCGACTGGCCACAATAGCCCAGCGAGTACTATTATTACTAAGAGCTCGATGACTTATGGCCTGCCGTTGATGTCAGTAGGTAATACATGGAAGACCAGCGTCAAGATTATTGAGAATTCCTTCCCTAACCAACAGAAAATTGAGCCCCTGCTAGAGAAGAATTTCAATCAGTGCAGTGTTCAAAATGAAAAGAAGGATATAGCTGTTCAGCCAGAGATCTTAGTGGATAGGCTCGTAACCGAAAAAATTAAGCAGGAACCTGTCGAAGTTAAATGCGAAGCGGACGATACCAAGTATAAAAATGATTCTACGACTAATTCGCATACCAAGTCTCATTCGTCATCTTCGAAACGGAAAGATCAACGTTCGGAGAGGCATCATTGTACGCGCTGCTACAAAAGAAGTAAAATAAAAAGGTCTAGCATTGGTATACAATGCCAAAGGGATCGGCGAAGTAGTACCTCTACTCCCTTGTATCATAAATCTTTAACCACTGTAAGCTCCATTCATAAATCAAACGCTGATAATTTGAAACTCAATCTCCAAGTAAAGAATTACAAACAGCTGGATAAGCAGCCTAGTAAATACGATGCACCGGTTCATTCGCAAGGATTGAAGTACAAGGATTTTATTCATATAGAAACTTATCCCAATGGCGGAGCTTCGGTAGTACATATGTATCAAGATGAAATTGACGTTCTAACAAGCGAGCAGCTCGAGGAATTGGCACACGAATATTTCAAGGTAAATGTTTTCTTATTGAGAGAGATATCGAACAATCCAAAGACAGATTTTATAAATAGCCATTTCATTTATTTAGGTTGTATTTGGAGAGGATGAGAATGGTAATGCTCATCACGTAATGGGTATTGTTCATAATGCTGCCTCATACATGCCAGATTTATTGGATCACATGGCAGAGATGTATCCTACTTTAACCGTAAAAAATGGTGTATTGGGACATAAGAGCGATATAGAAACGACAACGATGTTACAGTACAAGGAACATGTTTGTAAAGCTTACAATAATGGTACTGTACGATACGGACCTTTACATCAAATTAGTTTAGTGGGAACAGTGCACGAAGAAGTTGGTGGCTATTTTCCCGATATTTTGCAGGTGCTAGAGGAAAATATCTTTTTAAAAATGGTAAATATGACTTTCTATCTTAATGCGCATTACCGTCAAAATATTCGTCTAGTAAAGCCAATAGTGTACGCTACAAAAATTTACAACTATGTTCAGTAGACAAGGAAAGATAGACGCACATTTATTTATTATAACGATATAAATGGTTCGAAAGCAAAAAGCTAAAAATACATTTATTCTACTAAATCTAATCACGTAAAATAAATATAAGATACATAAATAATGTGAGAATAGTTTGTTTTATTTTAGTATACAATATGCATTAAGAATAAGTAATATATTTGAGTTTTTGACAAATATTTTATATGCAATTTTACAAAACATTTTTTTTACAAAACTTAAATTATTCCATTACAAGTAGACAAAAATTTTTCAAATCTTAAAAGCTATTAATATAAATACGTATGTTTTATGTATCTACTTTTACTTATTAATATACTTTTTTAACTGAATTTTCAATAATGAATTGCGATTATCAAATACCATAAATCAAAATATTTCTTTTGTTTTTTTTATAAAATATGAAAAAGCTTTTGATTAATTTTAACAAGCTTTTCTGCATAGATACTAAAATATAATACATATATATATATATATATATATATATATATATATATATATATATATATATATATATATGACGTAGTAACACTTAAGACGATGTTAATATAAAGGTATAAATAATTTTTTTAAGTAACTGCGTGTACTTTAATATTAATACAATTGCAATCTATAATTTAAAAGTTTATTTTTAATAATTCTTTTCTCGAATAAATTTGTGATATTTCTTGTAATAATTCTACCGCGTAGTGTATTACGATTTTTTGTAAATAATATAATTATAGCTCATATTGAAACAAACTAATACAGTAGGGAGTAATTAATATTATAATCCATAATTAATAGTTTCATAATCATTGAAAGTTTTGTTGACTTAAGATTTAAAGAATTGTTGAAAATAATTAATTCAAATTCAAATATAGTCTAATTTAATTAGATTTTTTGAAGTTTGTAACATTATTTAATGACAAGCAAATATAAGATTCTACGCGAGAAATGAATATAAAAGTAGTAATATTAAGTTTGTTAATCATATTTTATTTATTTTTATCTTAAGAATAGGATCGTTTTAATTCATGAATTTAAAAATTTAATTCCTACACTAGTCAATCTATAAGCGCTTAGTAGGATCTCGAAATAATTATTGATCTTGTGAAACAGAAAAAAGTAATTAGGTAGCACTAATTACTTATTACATTGAAAAAATTGTAACATTTAATGAATTGTAACAGTAGTTTTATTTTATATATTATATTAATTATGAAATAAGGTAGTAAGATTATTAAACTGTATTAATATAATCAATAGCGAACAATTTATTTAGGCTCCGTTTGAAAAATAACCATTGAATAGATCGTTGAAAATTTTAATTATATGATTATTATTACCTTCCTAACAAATTTTCTGTGAAAATTACTTATCGTAAATCAATACATTTAAATTGTTCCCTCAAGTATTAATTCGCGTTACTTAACGTTTGTTTAAACATTAATATTATTATTAATTATTATTGATTAGTATTAATACTTGTAAAAGAAAAAGAAAGTAAGAAAAGCGTTTCGTATCTATATATATATATATATATATATATATATATATATATATATATATATATAACGACTTTTCCAGCCATTCAATTTTATTTTGTTCTAAGCGACTTCTACTTAAGCTTTAAAACTTGAAACATGATATTTAAATAGATATCTTATTTGACAAACGTAATAGAATTTGTAATAATGTAAGACTTTATGTATACAGTTGGCATATATTAGATTCATACTGTGATGCTCTCAATGCTTATATTCTTTTCATAAACACAATTCGTGGTCACTCCAAACCCACCCTATTTTTCTTGTACACAGATGACCTAAGCCTTTTTACAGCTGTCGAGTCACTTTTAGACTTACGAGTTTACAAATAGACATCGACGCATATGTATGGTGCCAAAACAATGCACTGCAACGTATTTAACTTATTTAAATTTAACTTTGTATCGCTACATTAACTAAACACTAACTAAACTTTGACATAATGAAATTTCAGATTAATTTACTATTGCAACGAACATTAAGGTAATAAAATGAATATTTCCGTTGTATTACAGAATATTGCAATCGTTGCATTACTTATTGATTATCATTGTGCATTAAATTATGGAAACAGTTGAATCGTTAATAATATAAATCTTTCTCGAAACATGATTTAGAAAAAAAAAAAAAAACATTTGATATAATATTCCTTAAATTTAACAATTTATGTTAGAAATTTATATTAGAAAAATTTATTCTATCTTATATTTTATCAATTCATTATTTTAACAATATTTTGTACATAGTATATTTGAAATTTTTAATTATTTTTAAATCTAATTTAAACGTAATAAAACCTATTTAAATGTTATAAATAAAATTATGAATCGTTTGTAGTTTATAACGGAAACTTATAACATTCTATATTTTGTATTGTCTGTGGTATTTTAAGTAAAAATTATTTATTTAAGGAAATTATGATTCTAAAAACATTTAGCATAGTAAAAACATTGAAATATGACGAGGTATGAAAATTCCTGATAAATTGTGTTGCAATTTTCTTGAATGTATAATAATACAAAAATTTGGATTATTAATGAATTTATAATCTCTCACATATACAATATATTTACCGAAATAATTAATCCATCCTAGGATTTCGAAGCATTATTTAATCCTTTAAAAATACCATGAATATATCTAACGCAAATAAATACGATTATTCAAATTTATTCGAAGCTCATACATTCTTTAGCACACAATCAACGGAAGTTTCAAAATGATTTCCAGCGCAATTAAATAACACAATCATAAGTTCTTTCCAGTATTATAGTAAATTGTTCACAGAATTTTTTTGCGGTTAGATAAATTACATATATTTTATATTATTATTTTTATGTTTTAATCTACAAGATAGCTGTATAAAATAATAATTCTCGAGAGAGTTATTCAAATTCTACATTATTCGTGAAAACTTCAAAATTCCATTACTTGAAAGGATTGTTACAAAGTAATTTTTTTTGTTAGAAATTTCAATCCATCAGTTTTCATCTTTAAAGAAAGAGTTAATAATTTAAACAATTTAATCAACAAAACTATAATTGTTATTATACAAGTATAAACATTAGTAGATATATTTTAATAAGACGTTCTCAAGTTGTGGTTCACCAAAGTATTTAATATCGATATATCAGCAAAAGCTTATGCGAGTTCTACAAAATGTTTAGCAAACTAATAAATAAGATGAAATATATCATTGGAATAAATGTAATACTTAAAATTAACATATTTGACAAAATATAGCGACAAAAATATTAAAGAAGTTAATGTTTGGTGGCTTTAATGAACACGTAATTAAGCATAAAATGCATTATGAAAAGACTAATGATAAGTTCATTGTCTTTTCAGTGTTTGAGCTCTTAAACGTATCAAACAAATTGTACATAATGATGGACTTGTTTCGCTGTTATAGACGATGCCTTGGGGTCCGCTGTCGGCTGTGCGAATGGAAAGCCCCCAGGAGTCGAACGACGGCCCAATCCTGTGGATTCGACCTGGTGAGCAGCTTGTCCCGACCGCAGACATCAATAAAAGTCCCTGTAAGCGGCGACGCACCGGCATAAACGAGCTACGCAACTTGCAGTACTTGCCGCGCCTTACCGAGGCCCGCGAGTACATGTTCGAGGACCGAACGCGGGCCCACGCAGACCACGTGGGCCACGGGCTCGAGCGCATGACCACTGCCGCGGTTGGTGTCCTCAAGGCAGTCCACGGTGGTCAGGCCTCCGAGCTGAATCGCATTACCAAGGACGTCGTCGCGTTCCACGCCGCGGACTTCCCAGAGCTCGTTGAGAAGCTGCAGCTGGATCTGCACGAGCCTCCTATATCCCAGTGCGTTCAGTGGCTCGAGGATGCTAAGCTCAATCAGCTACGGAGGCAGTCGATACGATACGCGAGGATCAGCCTCTACGACAACGACATATATTTCCTCCCGCGCAACATCATCCACCAGTTCAGGACGGTTTCGGCCGTCTCGAGTATTGCCTGGCACGTCAGGCTACAGCAGTACTATCCAGATGATACGACCTCGACTACCTTCAATGCCGGTTCGCGTCGATCTTCCCATGCGCACCATCACAAGGACAAGAAGGCGCTCGCGCACGGAGTGGAGGAGGATGAGCAGAAGGAGAACGCCGACAGGCAGAAGATGGAGAGGCGCGACAGTGTCGACGAAGAGAAGAAGGCTAAGGAGCGAGCCGCCGAGTATCAAGGGAATCTCAAAAAGTCCGAGCAGCAGCAGAAGGAAAAACGCAGCACGACGCACGTGTCGTCGACCACCGGGACACTCGCCATTGATAAAGGCGTCTCCGAGAAGCCTGAGAGGCAACGACACAGGGAACGAAAAGAGGAACGAAAGCAAGAGCGAAGGAAAACTTCTACCGAGAAGAGGGATAGGTACGCTCGATGCTCGTTCTTACGCTTTGGCTTTAAATCTTCACGATTATTTGTAAGCAATGTATCACTGTCACCATGTCATATCGTTTTGATAGAATTCCGTAGCTTGGCCGCATAGATTACGATAAAAATATTATAATAGATTAAAAATTTTAAATTCTAATGCAATCATTTATGCGATAAGAACTCCCTTTTATTTATTACTATTTTTCACAAACAGTTCAATAATTTAGTCTCCTTAATTTTATTGGCTTGACTTTAATGGTCTGGGCAAATATTGTAGCGCGAATAATTATAAATATACGGCAATTTGTTGTAAAAACATAGAATTTTACAAAGCACAATCTCGCATTATTTATTCATCTCTATGTTTAAAATTACAGAGATAAAAAGCGCGAAGATCATCGTCATAGCAGCGGTAGCAGTAATCAACAAAGCAGACGAAAACACAGCGAAAAATTATCGTCCTCCTCATCGTCGTCGTCTTCGGAGCACAGAAGGCATAGTTCGTCCGGTAGTCATCGTTCAAGTAAATCGGAAAATCGAACTACAAGCTCCAGTAATCCAGCTTTCGAAGTCTTACCCAAAGCTCTTGGTAAAGAACTCGGCAAACCTGGTGTTGAGAGCTCACGAAGTGCGAGCAATATCGGAGGCGTTGTGAACAACGAACAGCCAAACTTAAAACAGGAAACAATCGCGATGAAGATTGATACGGAATTGCTTTCGGCCCGTCAAACGGCTGGTAAAACGTACGCAAGTCAGGTAGTCGATAAGGCGCTGGAAATCGCCATTTATAAGTCTAAGACGGACGTACAGGAAGTGTGCCAGTCATTACGTGACGGTGTCTCCTCGGCTTCGAAGGAGATGCTCGAGAAGATTCGTAAAGAGAGCCTGGAAATCGCGGAGAAGTTGTGCAGCGAGGATAGCGCGAGCATCGAAAAGTCCTATAGACTCCTGGAAGCGGAAACCGTTGGGGCATTTACATCAAAGCTTGATTGTGCCACGGAAAATGCTGTGAAAGCTTTAATAGAGATGGCAGAGGACGAGTCAAAAGTCGTCGATGAAACGACAATTGTCTGTGAAAAGAAGGAGGAGACAAAGGAGCAAAATGCGCTGCCATTAACAATGTCCGTAGCGCTTGTCGAGGAGAAGCAGGAAGAATCAGAGAAAGACAAAATCCCGGGAGAAAAGAAGCATTCGAGTGCATGGATCGAAGATAAATCGAATCACGAGAAGAGTAAGAAGAAGCACAGTAGTAGTAATAGTAGTAACAACAGCAGAGATGATCGCAAGCACAGAGATCGCAAAAAGAATGATCACAGAAATCGTGACAGGATTAGAGACAGGGACAGGGACAGAGAAAAGGACAGGGAGAGGAAACGACATCACAGCAGTACTCACAGTAACAGCAGTTGTGGTGGAAGTGGCAGTGGAAGTGGCAGTGGAAATGGTAGTGGTAGTGGTAGTGGTATTGGTAGTGGTAGTGGAAACGGCAACGCCAACGGCAATGGCAATGGCAATGGCAATGGCAATGGCAATGGCAATGGCAATGGCAACGGTAGTCATCGGTATAAGACGCCTCAGGATGGAAAGGTCAAAACGCCTAAAGAGACAACAACATCTTCGTTATCGTCGTCATCATCGTCGTCGTCGAGCAGTTATCACCGTAGCTCTCATTCGTCGTCCTATAAGGCTACCACTACCTCTTCGTCGGAAAGGAACAGTAATCCGCAGGAGTCCTCGGTATCTCGTTCCTCGAGTAACTTAAGTAGTAGCCACAAGCGCAAGTGTAGCTCAAGCTCGACAAACTCCGGTAGTACGGAGACCGAGACGAAAAAGCTGTGCACCGAGGAGATGATCAGTGGCATTACCGCGAGTACGACGGACCAAATACAACAGAGCAGTGCTGCAACGACGGCGACATGAACCTGTTGCACATCGGAATTCGCGCGCGACTGTAGTATTCATGAAAATAGTACAATCCTAACTTCTAGAAATGCAGTAGAAGTGAAAATAAATTATTGAAAAGAGATGTTATCTTGGCCTTCGCCGGGAGCGAAGTGAATAAAGAGGAGCATACCGCACAGGGGTGAAACGGCCTTTCTTGGCTTATCGGCGGTCATCGAGGCAAGTACGGGGGATGCTCGAGTTTATCGTGTAAAAAACAAATTTTGTAAGTCGAACGATTGATTTCAAGTATTGTTTCTCGTTATCGATATATGAATTTCTCTTCTCAACTGTCATTATCATTTTTAAATAATTTTTTTTACAAAAGTCCTATAATTTTTTTTTTTTTTTTTTTTGTGTACTTAATTGACTCAAGCGTACCATTGAGAGAGGTCGACAATTACCACGTTTTCATTTTTATGTAATGTGCGCGACGCACGTGTGTATGTACACGATAATTGAGGACCAATCGACTCGACGATAAACCGACACTCGTTCCTTGCTTTTATGACCTTGTAAAAGAAGAAGATGTAGAAAACTTCGAAATTTCTTACGAACGCCTTTGAACATTGAAAAGGTGCTGATTAGAAATGGCTAGTTACGCTTGATGGAGTCGAAGAAATAAATGTGTTTCCTTGTAGGAGCGTCTAGTTGGCTGTACATATAGAATGCAATCTTACGAGACACTGTACTATTGTCCATTGATACAGAAACAACAAACTTTTGAGCTCGAAACTTTATTAAGTTATTTAAATACAAACAAAAATATTGGACAATGTAGTTCAAGATATTTTTTATTTTTTTTGCATCGTAGAATATGTGTGTGTGTGTGTGTGTGTGTGTGTGTGTGTGTGTGTGTGTGAGAGAGAGAGAGAGTGAGTAAAACTAAACGATGTGCTACGTATGTGAGCGCGCTGCTTCGTATAAAGAAGACTATAATCTATGGAGTGTTTGAAACCAGTGACGTATCCAAGTTTAGACGCTTCCGTACATTAAATTTATTTTTGCGTTCAGAGATAATGTTCTCTAATAACTGCTAGGGGATAAAATATGAAGAACTCGAAGGGATTCGGTAAGGGATGGGGTATGACGGGGGGAAGGGAAGGGATGGAGGGAGAGATTCAGACATAATATATTTATATTACGTCTCTAAATAATCAAATATTACGTCTCTAAATAAACAAAATCAAGCAATATATATATATATATATATATATATATATATATATATATATATATAACTATGTACAATTTTTCTTTATTTGAATTACTGCTTAATTAGAGTAGTAGTTCTTCGATCTTCTCGTTTTTCACAAGTTTGTCAACGTAAATATGTAGATAGTTATACATAAATTATTGCAGATCTAAGTGCGAATTCTCGTAACATTTGTTTTGTTTCGTTGTCATCAAGTCGAACATGTTGGGTAGAGCGCATATATACATATATATATCGGAATTGAAAACAACAAGAAAAATCAATAATGATGTATATTTCTGTAAATATCAGCCGGTTTATTCGGGAGCAAAAGCACTGAAGTACTAAAAATAATAAAAGCGAGATAACAAAGTTTAAAATTTGGAAGCGACGATGCAGGTCTTTGTGGTCGCAGAGGCTTGTTACGTCCCTAACGATTTACAAATTAAATGCAAAGAGAAATTACTAAGAGCACTCGATCTTTACAGTCGGAAAAAACTATTGCCGAACGTTGATTGTAACATTGAGGACAAACGTATACACACTCGTGAGATTATTAATGTTATCGAGCAATTTAAATAACTTCAATGTGTACTTTAATAACGATGACCGGTACTTGGGCAACGAACTTGAAGTTTTAAGGCCTGGACCTATACGAAAGTGTCTACTTCAATCACAGAGTGTTTACATTTGTCAAGGAATGAAGTATATTACGATAAACTGCGTTCTCATATTATACATAATATATTACGTTGATCGAAAAAAAAAAATCATAAAGCATATATAGTTATAAATATCGTAGAATATAGTTTTACATATTGTACCCGTCTCACGTGTAGAGTCGCATTCCAGCTAGGTTTTTAAAAAAAAATAAAATTACTTTTATCAAGCACAAGTAGACTTTTTATGTTGTTTTCAAAATACTATTACTATTTTCATTATTCATAAAATTATCTTTCATTTCTGTTTTCAGGAATGTTCATTTTAAAGCATACACGGTTGCAAGATCAACCGATCTTTTATACTATTTAAAACTATATCTTTTTATAAAATAAAATAAAAATGAAGCTTGCTTAAGTTATAAAAATTATTATTATTATTATAATCATTATTATTATTATTATTATTATTATTATTATTATTATTATTATTATTATTATTGTCACGTTATTAACAGGAATAAATTATAAGCTTGTACCTGCAAAATTGTTAGTATGATAAAAATATTATTTACATGCCAATTTTTGAATTTTTTATTTAACCCACACTCGAACCTATGCGGCATTTACTTTTAAATCGACTATTTAACATAAAATGCCTTCCCTCGTAATTTATCATTATAACATTTAAATTTTCGAATATCTCAATCAATGTATTGTTATTTTATTTTATTGCGTTTTAAATTCAAGGAATCAATACTTATCGATATTCAATACTCTTCGAGTTGATGACTAATTTATTTACATAAATATAAATTATCAATTTGCCTTAAAATATTAAGTATGTACAATACAATTTGAATAGAAAATACAAAATAAAACGATAATTTTAATAAAATATAAGCAATTTGTGGTTCCGTTATGAATATAAATATACATTCAGTATATTTTAACTTACGATTAAATGCAAACTTAATCGGTATAAAAATTATGTCCAAAAATACATTTATAAATTAATATTGAATACATTTGGATAGTGTGTGTAATTTGTTCTTTTACAATTATTTGATAGTAGAATAATGGCTAAATAAATATTGCTAAAATAAATCATATAATAGATTACAATTAATACGTGATGCGACAATAACTACATTTCCTATAATTCAACTAAATACTAGAAGCTATTAATTACATTATTTCGATTAAATAGTAAATATAAAGAAGATAGGGCTCAAAACATATGTGGAATATCTCATGTGCGTAAGCAGTTTATGTTATGTCATAGTCTGGCACAATTTTGGAATTCCCGTTGCCTTTATATACAAAGTTATAGAACAACATTAAGTAACACATGCGTAATTATAAAAAGTTACTGCGGTATTTTTTTTTTGTTTTGTTTTGTTTTGTTTTTGTTTTCAACTGTGCAGAAAAGTAATGTTGTATTATTTGTTTTTATTATTTTCCATGGCATTTGAAGTTTTTGGAAAAGTACGTTCTACTTTAAAACAGATCTATACAATTTTCAATTTTAGATAAATAAAGAAACGAGGGCAAATAATTAATTGGAATTTTTATTGTATTAAAATTTCATTGTAAAATGTTATAAATTAATGTTAAGTTAGAAATGGAAAGTTAGTTTTTATAATATTTTTGTTATTATTACGATATAATCGAGGTAAAAGCATTTGTATTAATGGGAGCAATTATTTATCGCCCTGTCATGCCCAAAAATATGTAATTCAGTGGCATATAAAAAAAAATGGATAAAGAATTAACAATATTCAAATATTTGTAATGTAAATTTTACAATACTTCATTATAAGTGAATATAATATAATTATTGTGTAAATTTGTTCTGACTGCTTGTAAAGCATCATATTATAAAGACAAAATTTGGCACAGTTTTCAGAAATCAATCCAATTAAATAATTAGCACGTGAAGCAATCCTTGTATTTGAATACGAACCACAATGCTAACAAATATCATTTTATTTTTGTTATTAAACCTTCAAGTTAGACTGTTGTAATAAAATTCATTAGTAAATTATGTTTAATAAATGATTTATATTTCTAGTTGAGATTCTGTTAATTTAGACACTGCATTCTATATATAGATTTTCCATTATATATATATATATATATATATATATATATATATATATATGTGTGTGTGTGTGTGTTGTGCGTATGTGTGTGTGTTTGTATGTATATATTTGTATGTATATAGTTGTATATATATATATATATATATATATATATATATATATATATATAATGCAGCCTCGAGGGTTTTGGCATTGTTTTGACGCAGAAGCGTATGTGTCAATGAATGAATGCAAAATAAATTGAATAAAGAATTCTACCTTTCAATTATGATAGCTATTGAAAGGAACCAACTAAACGAAGCGAAAAGTTATGCGTCATTACTAATTACGAGATCTAAATTTTTATATAGCAATGTAGTTCAGCTCCTTCGTATGTACAAAATTATATACCTGGCTCTATTTATAATTTACAAGCCAATCCTTGCTTAAGCCAGCCGTAAAGGGAAGTCCATCGGTACCCAATAACATAGTGAGTGAAAGTATAGTGAAATAATAGGATCAACGTTCAATGCATTGGCAGCAAGAATACCGTCATCGCCTTTCAAAATTGTCGTAAACAAGCGAGATTTGATTGCTGACTGCATAATAGCTAACAGATGTCCTGGCCTAGTGCAACTTACTCTCCTTTCATTACTCATCCATGTCGTCTTTAGAAGTGGTGTGGTGAATCATCGATATTCGGTAAGCCAGGGAGCAGCAGACGCTGCACTCGGCTTCAGTCGCTCGTAATACAACCTGGCGTTCGGAGGTGGTAGCCGTCGTTTTTCGACTTCCAAACAGTTGCGGGCCCTCACAAATGGGCAGCCAAGGTGATAGGGGAGCCCAAGACACTTACCAACGTTTCGAGGATGACGCCGATCCTTGGAATAAGCACCATGTTGAAGGATACGCCAGCGGTAGTCCTAGTGTGTCTTTAATTTTTCTAACCTCCATAACTTTTGGTTGCGTCGTGCTTTTTCCCGTTACGTTTGTATGCTTAACACCTGTTATGTCTCTGCATAAATGTTTTCTTAATACGTATATGATACTTAAAAAAGAGAGGTAAAGGCTTGATAAGGAGATATCGTTTTACGTCATTGGCCAACGTTCTCCGTCTGTTGATTTTAGATATTAGGTGTTGTTGTGCAGATAGGTATTTACTTGCGTACGTATAATGTTTAGGGAAAAAAAAAAAAGATACCATTGTTTCATTGTAAATTTGTATTTTCTTTGATAAAAACATTTTGTTGTTGTTGTTGTTGTTGTTGTAAAATTCAGTATTAATCAAATTGCGTTAAAGCCAGTCTAATCGATTAGTTTATTGCTATAATTGTATTTATAATTTAATCAATTTTTTGCAAAGCTGTCCTGTTGTATTAATTATGTTTAGGAATATTTATGCTTATATAGATATTATTAGTTGCACACCTTTCTGTTTTCATTAAATATAGTTATTTCATTTTCACCCTGTTAATTACAAATAGAGCTTTTTGAAGTATTGTAACATTTGAGAATTGATTTTCTTAACAAATGTATTTGGACAATTTAGCATTTATCCTTATTTGGATTATTATATATGGCAAAGAATACCGTTATAAAGGGAAAGATTGTGATATAATACATGTAGATACGTTAAACTTAACTAATATAGTGTACTGCATATAATACTAATTATGTCAATTCAATCATTTAATTAGCATTCACGTATAAAATTTATTGTTTATCGTTAAGCAATTGATATCAAATTAATTTATGTAGAATTAATGCAATATAAAACGTTTGCACGCTCATATCATAGGCACTGCTTGCTTTTAATGTTTTTAGAATATGGATCTATGTTGTCTTGCCCTTCCTCAGACAGCCGAATGAAAATGCAGTCTACGGCGGCTTTAGATACTCCCAATGAAATGGGTCATCGTATTCTACCTGGGATGGATTCCCAGATACTTTCAGAAAGTATTTCTTTGTCTCGCAATCCTATTGTAACTTTTGATCCAGATATGTATTGGGAAATGAATTACCACGAAGCTGCTATCTTTCTTGAAGTAATATATGCTTTGAATTGTATAGCAAGAATTTATATACGCAGTACTAATAATTTTTATTATTATATTTTCATTAGGAAGGTCGAAACAATGAGAAATTTGATTCTCATCCGAGGCACCCAGAAGATTTGCCAGCATATTTATTAGTTCATAACAGTTGGTATTATGGTCTCGACTTATTTACATCTTTAGTATTATTGGGATTGGCTTTTGTAGAGGAGCCAGCAGTACCACTTTTTCAAGTAAGTAAAATGAGTTCTTTTATTAATTCAATAATAATGTTTTTTAATTTGCTCAAAATTTTATTAACTTTGTAGCTTCCTGTTTGGGTTCATGGTTCAATAGAGCTTCTAGCTCTAATAACCATCGCTATTGAATTGGCCTTAAAATTAAGATGGATTGGATGGGGAACCATGCTTAAGCATAAACGAACAATGTTAAAGGTGATATTTAAAAAGATTTACAAATCCGTGTGTGTGTGCGCATGATTTTTTAATGAATTCTAATTTAAATTGGACTCTGTTATTAATTCAACGCCAAGTTTAATTATTACAAATATCACATTGTCAAGTAGTTCAAATACAGAATAGTGAATAAATTTAGTAAATGATAAATATTGTGAGAAAATTTGTTTCTTTTTAAAATAACTATTTAAGAATTTAAACATTAAAGTTTGCTTAAATATCAATTAATATTAAAAAACAATAAAAAGAAAAAAAATTATTACATCCAAGTATGAATGTTTACTAGCTATAATTTTATAAAAATATGTAATAAAATAATGGAAAATATTTTTAATTACTGTGATATCTTATATATTATTGAAATGTCAAATAATTGTAATTTAACATTTCCTATCCAATCAAATTTTTTTTCTAAATATATATTGTTTTTATTTTATTCTTTCATAACAATTACTATATAATTTGTTTTCTTTTTCTTCTTACAGTGTGTCACACTGTTTATAATGTTCATTGAAGTACTCATCGTTTTAGTTAGGCAATCATCCCATTTCAGGGTCACACGTGCATTACGTCCGATTTTTTTAGTTGATACAAAATATTGTGGAGGTGTCAGAAGATTTATTAGACAAATTTTACAAACTCTTCCACCAATTCTGGACATGCTCGGGCTTCTGCTGTTCTTTATTTCAACTTACATGGTCTTAGGATATTATATGTTTTTCGAATTAAACAGACATTTTGCAACTTTGCAGGATAGTTTTGTTAGTCTCTTTGTTTTACTTACCACAGCAAAGTATGAGTCTTATTATTATTTCATAAATAATTATTAACTTAATCATATTAAAGACTTTATACTGCAGTTTTCCAGATGTTATGATGCAGTCATTTTCAAAAAATAAATGGTACGCCATTTACTTTGTGTCATATCTTTGTACTATGTTATATGTCATGATGAACCTTATGCTTGCGGTTGTCAATGAGACCTTTACATCGGCAGAACGAGACAAATTTAAAAAGTTATTTCTTCACAAGCGAAAAGCTTGTCAACATGCTTTTAAGCTTCTTGTATCCAAGCAAAATCCAGAACAAATGCGTTTTAAACAGTTTGAAGGATTAATGCGTTATTATGCTCCTCATAAATGTAAGTCCATATAAAACATTTGTTATATGAATACAAAGTTTCCTTCAAATAAAAAATTGGTGAAATGTTATGATTTTTATAAATTTTATTTTATCAATTATTTTAGCAATTAAAGATACAGTATTGATGTTTCGTTATTTGAATATATCAGGAAATGGTGTTTTGTCCTCTGACGAATTTCTTAATGTATATGATGCTACTGTATTGACATGGGAACCTCAATACTCGAGCGTTCCCTGGTATCATATGACTTGGCCACCTTTGCAAATTTTTTGCCAAGGAGCTCATGCTGCTATCGCTTGGCCTTATTTTGAAACTCTTGTTTGTAAGTTTAATTTAATTGATTTTAACATTACTTATACTTTAATTTAATTATTTCTTATACTCTTATATTCTTTTTATAATACTGAATTTATCTATCCTGAAAGCACATATTTAAAACAATGCTGCTAAAATATGTTACCCATATTATTACGTATTTAATATAATAATATTTCAGACACTGTAATTATTGGTAATGGAATTGCTATGGTATGTCGTTTGATTCAAACAGAGCCTAATCGAGAAAAATCTGCTCATTTATTTGCTGCATGCTGGGATACACTGTTATTTGGCGGTTGTAAGTATTTACGAACATTTTTCACTTGTATGTTAAAATTTTTTTAATATGGTATATATTTCTCACATTGAAATATAAAAAAAAAATGCAATAACAATCTAGCATAAGACTAAATGTAATGGTCAAACGCTTCTGTTTCTTGTTTATTTCTTATTCCTGCTCTCATAACCTATCTCTTAAATTCATTATTGATATTTTTATTATTCAGTATTCGTAGCAGAAGCTCTTACAAAGGTCATGGGTCTTGGGATTCGACGTTATTTGAGTTCAGGATGGAATCTTTTTGATCTTGGTACATCAATGTTGGTTCTAATAGGAGCTTGTGGTCTGACATTATTTCCAACTGCTGTTTTTTTTGTTGTATTTCGACCACTTCGAATGCTGCGACTTTTCAAAATAAAGAAACGATATCGCGATGTTTTTGGTACATTAGTTATTCTCTCGCCATTAATGTGTTCTACCGCAATTGTTATGCTTGTGCTCTATTATTTCTTTGCAATTATCGGAATGGAGCTTTTCGCTGGATACGATATGAGAAACTGTTGCAAGTATGTAGATATTTGTATTTATATGATTTTTATAATACATTTTATATTTGGTAAATTTATAATAAAATAACAGTCATAGAAAAATTGGCTGAATTATTAGAAATATACGAAAAATCGATATATATATATATATATAGTAATTATATTAAATAAAATTTTCTAATGTGTATAAATGTATCTTTTAGGAATACATCCGTAGAAGATTTTTATAAATACTCAGCTAATGGTAGTACAAGTTTAGGATATTATTACTTAAATACTTTTGATAATCTAATGGCCAGTGGTATGACATTATTTGAACTCACGGTTGTCAATAATTGGTTTGTCTTGATGAATGCTTATGCAGTTACTGTGGGAATGTATACGAGAGCTTACTTTATGACTTTTTATTTAATAACGATGATAGTTTTAACGATCGTAGTGTCTAGTTTTCTGGAAGCGTTTCGTTTCAGAATTCAGTATAAAAAATCAACTACAAAACGAGACGGTAATTTAAAAATAAAATTATATTGCAATTTATTTTCACAAACTAATGAAATAAGATTTTAATATTTATAATTGCAGAAGAGAAAATGTTACACGAAGAAGTCGAGTTAAAATATGATGAATTGCAATTGATCGTTCAAGACTTTCAATTGATAGAACAAATTCGAGGAATAATACCGGTTAATGTAAGTTGTAGAACCATAGTGGTTGTAGACGATAATATGAATGAAATAAGTTTAAAAATGATTGGATTACAATTTTTTAGACTTCATCACTATTCATTGGCTCGAGACCTCGAACAAGAGAAGTTTTACAGCGGCGAATGTATATTCATGAGATATTTGAATGGCTATCGGAAGCTAAATCACAAGAAAGAACAAATACGCCAAGTGCAATTAATGATATCGATGATGGTAGTAGAGGTGATCGTGTTGTCGACACAGACAGTGCGATATTAAACAGTGTTGCGTTGACACAAAGAACACCAAGTACTGCTTTAAGTTCTATGTAATTATCACATGTACATATAGTAATTAAGAGTTATGTTTTCTGTATTTCAAAAAAAAAAAAAAAAAAAAAAAAAAAAAAAAAAAAAGTACGTCATAGGAAACGCACCTAGTCAAAAAATTTATAATTTATAGCAGCACTTGCTTCTCTAATAGCACCGTAAAGCTCAATAAAATAACAAAATAATTACGTCTTATTATTAGTCTGAAATATAAGCTAATTATAACTGTATTATAAACATTGTTATTACAGTTTGTTAAAAAAAATTTCTTGTTCATAGGAAAAACTGATCATCACATTATTCATTTTTATTTAATAATTTATGTATCATTATTAAACATCCATAATGAATTATTAGGTAAGCAAGTTGAAAAAACAAAAAAGTAAAAACAAAAATGCAATTTATAAATGAATGTAAACGTACATTCTTTGCATTTAATTTTATAAATATTTTAAAATTACTTAATCCATAATTTTTTAGGCAGAACTAATTAACAAAGTACATACAGAAATATCGACACAAACTATTTTATACCTAAACAAATAAAAAATTTTTTGTTAAATGAATCGTTATGATTAATGGGTCATTCGAAAAATATTTTCGACTCAGTGTATTGTTTGCACGCTATATTTGTGATAAATTAGAATTAATATATGTCCACTAGTATTGTAATCAAAACAAGTTTAATTATATTTTTAAAAAATTACTTTTTAAATGATTTTATTTAAGAATTTACCGTTAGAAAGAAGTACAGAATAATTATTTTCCTTATAATTATACTAGCAAAATAATTTTACAAATTAATGTTGTATTATTTAAATAATTAAGAGGACAAAAGAAAAAGATTCAAATACATATTTTTTTATACTTATGCAGAGTTATTCTCCAGAAGGAGCAACAAAATATAATTTATTCTTTAGCCCAATTGTACAGGATTGTGTGAACATCCCAAAGATTGAAAGAAAAATAAAAATATGTAAATTTTTAAAGCTGGAGAACACGGAACTTTCTTTAATCTTGACTTCTAATACCTGCATCATGAATTTCTACTCCAGAACCTCCTAAATTAGTTTTTATCACGGAGAATCCATTTTTTATTAATTCAGAGCTTAAATCTTGAACATTAACATCGGATGCATTGGGAGGAATAAGTATGTAAGCGAATCCTCCGCCACCAGCTCCAGTGAGTTTAGCAGAAAATCCATAATTATTTGCTGTCATGCAAATTAGATCCAGTGAAGAATGTGATACTTGACAAGTACTTAAGAGCCCTTGATTCATATTTACGAGAACCTAATAATTAATTATTAAATTAATATAAAGCCCTACTTTGGCGTAATAAACCAAATGATATTAATACGTTAACATACACTTTGTCGAAGTCTTAAGAATTGTCTTTTTAATAGCTTATTTTACAATTATTAAATTGTTAAAAAAAAAAAAAAAAAAAAAAACAACTACAACAACAAAGATAATACAATTCATAGTCTTTATTCTTTTATATTATACTTTATGAGCTTACCGATAATTCCTTGTAAGCTTCGATTAATTGGTCATTCTCCGCCGAGTCTTGGAATCCTTTAACGACATGGATAACTCGTCTAGAAATTTCGTCAATCGTGTCGAGAACTTTGTGAAAAATTTGTGGATATTTGTTGGTCAATCCAGCTAATTTGTTGACTAATTGTTTGGTACTTCGATCGACTTTGGTGTCGACCAGCAATATCCTTATACTTTTAAGGCCCAGAGGAATAAACGTTGGTGTTTCGCCTTTTCGAAATTCGATAACCGAGCCGAATGTACAAATGGAATTATCAATGCCTGAAGGAGTTCCGTGCATAATTTTTTCACAATTCAGGGCGTATCGGGATATATTTTCTAAACTAGAGGTGTCAAATTCAGGCGGGGAATTGATGTTTCGTTGGAGTTGCGACCAGTGCAGGAAACCGGCAATAAGACAGACGGAGAATGCTGCTGAACTTCCGACGCCTGCGCCAATCGGCAATTCGGTATCAATTGTGACTCTAAAGGGATTTAATTTTAAATTCTCGTATTGTACAATTTGAAGCAATGCATAGAAGAAACATTCCAGGCTAACTTTTTGACGCTGATTCTCAAAACCGATCGTCTCAACAAATTCTTGGATGCGCTGGTAAAATTTCTCGTGCCCGTCATCGCACAGTTTTGGAAAATCCTTCCCGAGAAGAGACTCTTGTACCTGCTTCACTGATATCTTTTTAACCACTTGGAGTTTCTGCATTTCCAAACGAATCCATGTATCCTCCGATGGAAATTCTACGAGCTCGAGAGTAGTACGGCGATTTAAACTGGCTGCCACAGCAGTTTTACCGAAAACTACCGCGTGCTCGCCAAATAATATTACTTTACCAGGCGTTGAAATTTTGAAGGAAATCATTGTGAAATAGAACTATACGAGTGTATTCATGAGCATGAAATTTAACAATTAGGCTTCTTTTTCCAGCTTCTCCCACTGCTCAGGCGTCAGAGTCTTCTGCGAGAAGGCATGAATTTCTTTCAATTCTTCTTCGAGAATTGTATTCACCAACCTGTAACAATGAAGATTTATTTGTCAAAGTATTATATTAATTTTTCAATTACATCATATTATAAAGAATAAATAATCTACGTCCATGAATTATGGTGAACATTTCAATCTGGTTTATTTACATTCTCACACAAATGAAACATAAATAACTTTTTATTCTTCTCGTGTTATATAACTTTTGCACGTTATAACGAACTTTAAAATTAATTTATGTATAATTTGTAACTTATATAACTATCATTGAATAATAATACTTTTTAGAAATTCTATCTGTCAATAGAAATCATTTTAACGCAAATAATTGAATTTTATAATTTACAATATTATATCAACATGATTTTTATATTCGTAAATAAATGTAATAGAGCAATCTTCGAATAATTTTTAAGTATTTACTTATGATTGTAACATTTAAATATTATGATTAAATATTAAAACGACTGAGTAAATTTATTGCGTAATTAATGTTAGAATATTTTAATTATTATTTCGATCGATAAATCCTATTGTAAATTATATAAAACGTATATATTTTACCTATGTCTTTGAAGAAGCTGTTTCCCTTCAAATTTATCCGAGACAATTACAACAGAAAATTTTGCACCACAACCATCAGACTGATCCTCTACGGTCTAGAACAAAAATGTAAAACGTCACGAAAATACAAGAAAGAATTGTTTCTTTAAAATATCCCTTTACAATCCTTTTACGGTATTCGTTTCACTTTGTCTTACTCTTTACACATGAGTGGATAATCATAAAAAGGAAATAAATGATGCGATGACAAACATTTTCATTTGAAAAAATCTTATTTATTAATATTAATGTACCGTAGTAAACAGAGCATACTCATACAAATACATAATTCATAATAAACACTTTGGTATCTTATGCAACTAGCATTGTGCATAGTTTCTTCATACTCGCATTCTTATTCTTAAATTTGCATATGTAAAAATAATTTATTAAAGTAAGATTTAAAGTCAACATATATCTGGCACAAATAAATTATATTACATAAAAATAATTAAGAAACTTATTTTGAATAATCAACAATAATAATTAACAAACTATTGTACTTTATAAAGCCAATGAATTGTAATTGCTTTATTTATGAATAAATTATAACTATTAATTTTTAATTAAAGCTATTATTATTATTACATTATTATTATTAATAGTTCTACTACTAATATAATTATTACTATTATCATGATCACTGTTAATTATAATTATTATCGTTAGTATTATTAATATTATTATTATCATTATCATAGCATTAGCTTTTATCACTTTTATTGATTTTACTTGACTTTGAATTTCCGAGTTAGTATGGATGTTGCGCAAAATTGTTTATAATTAAAATAGACTAAGAATAGAAAGAAATGTATACACGAGTAGACGGATACAAGTAACGGAAATAGGTCTGGATATTTCTTTGGTGCTTTTAAAAGTCCGCTACATACGGATAAAACTAAAACACCTAACAACGAAAGACTAAATAATATATTAATATAAATTCCACTAGATGCCCATACACTAACACTTTTTTTGATTTTCAATTTTCTTGATGTTTGTTTTTCCTCTTGCTTGTCTTCCTTATTTTTCACAAATTGACTAATTTTCGATTCAAACCACATCCAAGAAACTGAGATAATGAAAAATGTAAGAGAAGCAAAATATGCAACACAAAGTCCATCTTTAATCAACAATGGAAGCATACTAAAGACAGAAATTACGAGAAACCAAAAACAAGAAAATGGATCTTTATGAAAATGTAATAAAACTGGCAATCCAACTAAAAGGATGGATTTTTCATGAACTTGGAAAGAAAGAAGGAAAAATGATAGAGACGAATTTATAAGGGCTAGTAAAAATTTTTCTCTCGATGGCCTAAAAAATAAATCGAGACTACTTGGTAATAACGCAACTGTTGTAGATACAAGACATATTTGTGCCAATTGTAAATTAGAAAAATTATTTCTCAATTTATAAAGTACGTTAATTGTACACCAAATATTAGCTACTTTATCTTCAAAAATGCCTCTTGTTAGAGGAAAGAGGCGCAAAACCGTATCCATAAAAATTTTTTTATCGGTTAAAAATGGAGCCCATATTACAGCGAATGTTATAATAACTGTTAAAGATACGCAAATTAAGGAGCGTAAGCAAGCAAGCAGTGGCTTCCTTTTTCCTGGTGTATTAATACCCAAAATATAGAAAAAACACGGTAGTGCATGGTATAGTTCCATTTGCTTATAGTTTAATGCCAGAACAAAGAAAAACGATCCAATTGCCATGGAGCCTTGAAAAAGTGCCGATACTGATGCAATAAAGAGGCCCAGTGATACACAATTATATTGAAAGTGACCATAATCTATCAAAATTAATCCAGGATAAAAGAGTATAGTCGCTAGAACAAAGTGACGTTTTTTAAACGTAAGAAATTCCTTCTTCTCTTGATGTTTCTTTATTTTCGAGTCCAATATTGGTAATATTGTAAAAGCAAAATATACAACAGCTGGAATGAACACAAGCAGATCCATTATTAGGACTGACAATCTCATAAAGTATTTGTGAGTACGAGATTCATAGCCTCTGGATCGATGTAGCTTCACTGAATCGGGATCGACTACGCTTGCGACATGGCCAAGAAGTAAACTATGATATGCAGTGATGGGAGGATAATCCAGACCCCAATACTGTAAATCATTATCCGAGGAATTTGAATACCACTGTGAAATGGGAAGATTCAATGTTATCTCTTGCCAATGGCGTTGGGCTTCGTAATCGCCAAACATTGGAGGCTTTCCATCACCGCTATAAGGATGATACGATATGCACCAACGGAGTAACAATGCTAAACCAACGATAAGGCTGCTTTGCATTATTTCTGATATTCCATCTTTGGTTCCTACTTCCTTAGGAACCGAGTTAGCACGATCGCTGCTGTCCTTGCGATTAGTATTTATCATCACGTTCTCTCTGTCACGCATTTTTACTCGTTTCTCGTTCTTGTAATATTTATCGCTGGCTTTATGAGTATTTGAGGTAGTTTGCACGCTGTAAAAGTGAGGTTATGCTTTGGCGTCTTTGCCATTTCGCGATTAACAACGGCTAATTACAGTTTCTACTTACAATATGTAGAGGCTCTAGCTCCTTTTGTAGTTTGTCACGTATATAATCTTCTGAATATGGCATATTTTAACAATGTGCTCATAAAATCACTTAAGCTTACGAAAAATTTATATTACTAGACCTTCTGCTTTTACCGGTATAGTAAAATACCATACAAATTGTCACTTATGACAACATAATTGCCATCTCCCTCCCCCCCCCATTATCAGGCTATCAAACCGTCAGACATGAGAAGCCCCCCGGGTAAGAATGATCAATGATGTGAGATGAAAGCGGTAAAAACAGATGCGCTGTTGGAATTAGCAAGTACCGAAGTCATTTGCAATGAACAATAATAAAGATTTCTAATCGCGACGATATAACATATAGTAATAAAATGACATTGGCCTATAAATTAAAGATCCTTCGTAAGGGAGAATCCTTCGCTAAGTATTGAAAGATTTATAAAGAATTTTTATCCCGAGGTCTTAAATTATAGGTGTCCTATCAATAATATTCACTAAAATATAATATGTAATAAAAAATGAAGTTATCAACGTACGTTCAGACGACAATTGGAAATAGGACTTCACGTAGTCTTGATTCTTCGTGAGGTAACGGTAGCGGGTAGAGGTCAAGAAACTTTTTTCCAACCGGTCTGTGAGTCATCCTTTATTTATATTTAAAGTACATATTGATTCATATGTATTGCTTGCTACAAAATTTAGTTAAAAATTTATTCGACAAAATATTAACGTACGTTCACGTAGTAAAAGTGGTAATTTAATAGTGAATGTTGAGCCGTGCGATTATACGTTTCTACTATTTTTTTTAATCAATCATTGAGACGTTATGAATTAGAATAGAAAAATCAAGTTTCACTCGAAAAGTGTTAAAGTGATATTTTATCGATGTAAATGAAAAGTCAAATTTTAAGCTTCACGAACGTTATTCACTACTACGGTCAAAGTGCTACGAGCGCGATGGGATAAATTTTATTTATTAACGATTAACTATCAAGTTCTTGCTTTTAAATTACGAATTGAGATAATTGCATATGTAAACAAGTTGTTTACAAATTATATTTAATTATAAAACGGTTGAAAACACAAAGGTAATAAAGTACTAACTAAAGGACAGAATATGACATTAACATTGTTATAAATGACGCATGAAGATGAATTAACGCGTCGTTAAATCGACGAGAAAAGGAGAAAACGAGCGTTGAAAAGCGGCTAGTTACATTGGAAACAACGATTAAAACTTTCATTATTATGAAAAATGCTGCTCTTCCTAGTGATTCATTCACAGCAAAAAAAAATAAAAAAAAAAATATATATATATATATATATATATATATATATATATATATAATACACGATGCTATAAAAGGATGAATATGTATATTTTAAAGTATTAAAGATAAATGTAGACTACGTTGAAAAGACGGATAATGAAAATTGGTGATGACAAGGTAATTAAAAATAGAAGATAATATGGAATTATCATAATTGTATATTACTAACTGTTTGTTGCTGTATAATTTATAATTTAAAATAAAAGGAATGTCTTGCACTTTGAATACAAATGGTTACAACGAAAGAGGCAACAAAAAAAAAAAAAAAAAAAACATAAGTATTTTTGAAAATATGTTTTATCATAAAATAAATTTACAAATAAATATATTTTTTCAATATTGTAAAATAAACTTTAAAAATATTGATTCTTTAAAGTTCAATAACATTCTTAAAATTCTATTGATATTACAAAAATCATTCTTTATATTTATATTTTTAAGTCAGATTTATTACCAAAATTAATAAATAATGATATTTTTTTGTATAAACATTTATTTTTCTTAGATAAATAATGTTTTTGCTTACCACTTAAGTATTTATACGTTAATGCACATTTATGTACGATATATAAGACAAAAATTAAATTGAAGTTTCGTATGTTTATTGTATTTAGAATTTCGTACATTTAATATCGATTTGTTAAATCGACTTGTTAAAGATAGAAAGAAATGTAAGAAATATGAGTAATGAAATGTAAAACTTTTATTAATAATTTCTGAATCAGCAATAATTAGAATACATTGTAGTGACCTTTGAAGGAACTTAATTTGACATAATAATCTTTTATTGCCTACATATTTAAAAAGTATACCTACTTCAATTTAAATTTCATTCTAATTAATTATTTGGTCGTATTCTTTGAATAATACGTATTTAAATATATTTATAATATTTCCATTAATATATTATAAAAACAAAATTTATTTTTTACCAAATGCTTATTATGTTTTTATTATTTCAGTGATTAATTCACATTTTAACGCAATTTTATGAAAATCTTTTCTTTTCTTTTTTTTCGTGTTATAAAAACTTCTAAAGTACAAATATATTTAGCATACATAATTTAATTAAATTACGCGGTAATTTGCATAATAATACTTACAGTGTGATAAAATAATAAATTGTTTGAACAAAAGTTGTTACGAAAAAGCTTTAGTAATGTATAAAATAAAAATAAATGTATTTTATTTTTATTGTTTTATTGTATCTCTCTTATTCACATTTATTCAAATTTATATAACTTTTTATACATATTTAAAAGAATTATTAAACTCCTGAAAAATATAAAAATATAATTAATATAAATTAATAATAAATTAACTTCTTTACAGCAGCAATCTTCTATGTATAAGAAAATTATATATCGTCATAGCATATTGAAAGTATATTTACATTTGTAATCGATTGTCTTTATTATGATTTTCCAGTAGTCAAATGCTGCTTGATAAATTGAATATTACAACTTATGAAAAATTTACAAACATTAGCTACTGTTCGATAGCTTTATAATAATTTTCCACCCGCCCTAGCGGATGCTTGGGAAGGACTTAAGTGGAAGGGCTGTAGAAATGTACAGTGAGTGTAGACTTCGTTAAATATGGTTTATTATAGTTTATTTACAATTACATTATTGATGTGTTGGAGTTATTTCATGGAATAGTGTATACTATGTTCAATCACAACGATGGAGTTGCTCCTTTTGATGGTGATGATCCTGTAAGGATATACAATTGTTATGCCTTACACTTTGTTTACTCGCAGTGTTTGGAATTGTCGGGATTTCCTAAAGCTTGGAGTCTTCGAGTATTTTTTATATTATTATCCTTACGTGATGATCTTGTAAGGATATACAATTGTTATGCCTTACACTTTTTTTACTCGCAGTGTTTGGAATTGTCGGGATTTCCTAAAGTTTGGAGTCTTCGAGTATTTTCCATGTGTTCGGGTCTTTCCCGATGTAGACTTTCTTTTGTCTAGCAAAAACATCGCATCCATTCTTGTCAGCGCTAGCTAGACTGTCGCATGAGTATTTAAGCAAGCATGACGAGAGAACCAGGCTCTTTCTTACTGGGGTCGTCACGGAAGGAAGACGCGTTCAGTTTCGTGCGCGTATTCAACAAGTTAACCGGCAGTGAAATAGCGTTGGCTGAATAAATCAAGGGCATTGTGATAATGTATAATTCAGTTCGGGAAATATTCAAGTGAAATGGTAGCAATCTTCACGACTGAGGTCTGGCTCTGACCCTTACGTATAGTGCCCCATTGCACGAAGTGGTAGCAGGGAGTGATCAGCAAGTTTCACTTCCACGAGTCCGTGCAAGCAAACACCACTAAACGCCACATCAAGGTATCGGGCTATTTCTTCATACTTACACACCACATAACATCAAGGAGGAGACCAGCAATCAGGTGACCACCACATGGCAATATACTAAGAGATGTCCAGAGATTACGACCTCTTACCTCTACGTGCAGTGCATGCTACCATCACGTAACAACCATCATGAAACAGCAAGATCTCAATGATTCTCATTATCAACGTAGAATCATTATAACGTAGTTCTAAAATAAAATGAAATAAACAAGCACGAAAGGCAGATGTGTTTAATACTGAATTGAAGCGCTATCCCTTCCACTTATCCCTACTTTTTTTCCACCAACAAACTCGTGGACATTGTCTATTTCTAAACACACAGCGATACAGTAGCCTTGACATGATCCTGTGATGAATTTCTTCATCATCATGAATGCTCCTTGTTGATGGTGACGATTTGTTGTTGCTGATCTTGTAAGGATCTTCGAGTAGTAAAGTCACTTGGAATTCTCCACATTTCTTAAGCATTGTTTTTTCTTAGAGTTCTCGAAACTTCTAGAGTTTTCGTTTTACGCCTCATGCATTAAATTTCATAAATTGATTAATTAATACTTTTATCTTCTTATGTTAATTCATCATATTTAGAGGTATTTAAATGAAATGCTTCTTTTAATATCATTATTTAATTATAATTTATCATTGAATTCTGACAGATGTATGTATCCATCGACAAAAAGTTTGTCTTGGTCGAGACTATAACGAGCAACATGCACTAGATGTTTGCAGGATCAAACTATTGGTCCATGAATCACCATGAAGGCCAGGGTATACTCTCAGGCTATGCGGGTAAAGTCGGAGACATACATCTGTCGGAATTCAATGATAATGTCCGAAAAGACTTTATGCACCTGATAGGACATTGGGTCAGTTCTCTATACGTTCTTGACGGGGGGGGGGGGTGGTTT